CGGAGAGCGCTCCTGCGCGGTGGCCGAGAGGGCGGCAGTGCGCCTGCGCGGGGTGCACGCCGCTTTCGTGCAGCTGCAGCTCTCGGGGTGTGTTTTGTACCGAGAATGGGTGTATTCATGTTGTTTGGTTTTTTTTAAATTTAAAGTCCCGTTTTCACGCTTCTCTGCACCGCGTGGCGGCGTTCTTCCTGCAGGCTTTTTGCGCGTGGCAATGCCCGGGGTTGCACTTCGCGCCGTGTTTGCTCGCACGGTGCCGCAGGGGGCTCGCACGGTGCAGCGTGCTTTGCTGCACGGGTGGCGCGCTGTTCACAGGGGTTTTTGCGTGCTGTTTGCCTGCTTGCTTGTGTGCACTGCGGTTTTGTGTGCAGCTTGCAGGGTGGCCTGGTTTTTGCATGCTTTCCTAAGTGGTTGCATGCTGTTTACAGGCGTTTCTTTGCATGTAGTTGGCACGTGTCGTTGCACACCATTGCACACTGTTCACATGCCCACAGTGTTTGCACTGCATGGCATGCCGGGTTCATGCTTTCTTGCGTTCCGTTGCATACTGGTTTTGGCCTTGCTTGTGTCCTGTTTGCCTGTTACGCACGGCAGTGCGCTTTTGTTGCTGACTTGGCCCATCCAGCCCCAAGAGGCCCCAGTTTGCTGTGCCGCAGTAGAGCGGGCACCTGCACCCTTCCTGGTGCGATGCCTCAAAGAGAGTTAGAGCAGACGCAGCTCCACGGCCTCCCCCCTCAAACACTTTTACTTGTGATGCCGCGTGCTGGCAGCCCTCTGGCCAGGCGTCACTGGGCTGGCAGCAAAGTGTGGGCTGCTGGGAGAGCTCCAGCTCTGCCCTTCTCTCTGCAGACACCCAACAGCAAGTTACCAAGCACCACTCAGCTGTGCCCCGCTCTGCCTGGGTTCCCAAAGAGGCCGTGCAGGGAACGGAGAGAAACAGCCCAGGAAAAAAACCTCAAACACTGAGATGTTGGGGTTTTCCCACCATTTAAACCCCACCCAGCTGTGGTTGCTGGGTCACGCATGTTTACTGCAGGGTTTTCCGCTTGGCTGGCCCATACGCTTGATGGATGCGATAAGACTGGCTCCCGCGATGGCCCTGCAGGGTGAATCCAGCCTGAATCCCTCCTGCGCTGGCGTTATTCTGGGCTGACCTTTTTATGGGCTGTTTAAATTCCTGGTTTATGGCACTGCATGGGAATGGCCCTGAAGCCTTTGGCTGATGCCAACTCCAGCACCCTTTGCCTGTGGCAGCTCCCGGCCAGCCCCGGCACAAGCTGCCCCTGTCATCCTCAGCACAGGGACCTTTTTTCCTGCAGAAGTGATGGTCAGGTTTGCAGCAGTGCCATGTTTCTTGCACTATTTTTGGCTGGTTTGTTTGCAGTGCCAGCTGCATCCGTGGGCACTGGCCTCAGCACTCGGGAGGCTTTGCCGGATCTCACTGAATACCTGCAGCACGCAGGCTTTGCCCAGGGAGCCGGGCTGTGGGTGCCTTGGCTGCTCTGAGCTGCTCTGGCACCTACTGATGGTTGCAATCTGCAGGATTTATCCTGGATCCAACCTGAAACAACTTGTGGTCTCCAGATCCTTTTGTAAACTGCACTGTGGACCCTCACGTCTGAGAGTCCTGGCCGCATACCCCCGCCCCTGCGCTGCTGCGGGAGCTGCGTGCTCGCTCGGGTTTTGTTTGGTGGTAGCTCTTGCTTTCTGTAATTTCTGTTTTGCGCTTGAAGCCTGGCTGGTGCGGCCGTAGCAGCAGTCCTGTGGCTGGAAGCAGCGGGAGCTCCCAGCCCTGTGACGTCCTTCTCGTCAAGCAGGGACAGAGAAGGATTGTCCCGAAATCACGTATTTCAGCAGCTCTACAGGCTGCATGGAGCCATCCAGTGGAGTGGATCTGTAAGGAGCTGCAGAGAGAAGAGCATCACTGGCAGGGAAACGTAATCCCAGGCTAGCGGGAACACACTGTTCTGTGCAGGACAAGAGGCAACAGTGGTTTTATGGTCTTTCTGTTCAAGCAGAAGCTTTTCAAGGACCTCTGGCTGTGCTTTGCTTTGATTCTAGGGAACATTTCCGCTAATGATTCCCGTGTGCTTTGTTCAGCTGCTTGTAGCCAGTGGTCTGTTCCTATCACAAAAGCCACATCCAAGATGCAAAGGACGTATCCCTGAAAACAGCGCCATCAGAAGCCAAGCAGCACCACCAGCGTCCTCTCGCTGCTCTGTGTGAACTGCAGCAAGGTAGTCACCTTGTACTTTGTGAAAATAACCGAAGAGCGCAGAGGTGCCGGTGTTCCTGCGTTCCCAGCCCAGGGCTCTGGGAGGGCTGAGGCAGCTGCCCACCAGCAGATCCTGGCCACAGCTCAACCCTTGGGGTCTGCTGAGCCCAGAGGCTCCCTGAAGCTTTGGGGACACCACGGGTGCAAGGGAGCCATAAGGGAGACGAGCAGAAATCATACTGGGGAGGCAGAGGAGGATCTTGTGCTGCAGCAGCAGGGTGAGCAGGTGGAAGGGTTTCAAAATGCTGCAAATAGAAGTTGGGAGCAAGAAAAGCTTTTTCTTGAGAAAGAAAATAAACCCTTGGTATGGCTGAGGTATGCACAAACCTTTGGTATACCCAAAATTAATTTGCAAACTGGCTGAAATGTAGTGAAGCGTGGCAGGTGGGCACTGTGAAACACGGCAGTGTGGAAGGTGAGACAGCAGAGCAGACGAACCCAGCTTTGTACATCACACCCCTTCCCCTTCCCATGTCTGCATCTCCTCCTCCCAGCTGACTTGGCAGCGTGCTTGAGACAGCAGCTCAGAGTCTTACAGGGTCAACTCTGCCTGTGGGATATAGAGAAAGTAAAACCAATCAAGAGCAGCACAAATGTACAAACAGCTCAAGTTTACTTCCAGCATCGTTCCTAGCACATAAGTTACCCCTCTCCCAAACAGACGTCTTACACCTTTCCCAGTCCCAGAGCAGTGCAGTTCAGTAGTCAATGGGCTTAGAGCCATTTCCAGCCCTTCTGCCCTGATAGAAGCAACCTCTCGGATTGTTGGACCTCAAAGAGAGATCCAGGCAGCAAAATGGAGCACGTTGCTTCCAGCAAAGACAAGAGGCAGCAGTGCTCTGCTCCCTGGGTCTCCCCACGGCCAGCACCGGCTGCCCTGCTTTATCTCAGAGCGGGGGCACCCCGCGGAATTTGCGGATGATGTTGGCCAGCCGCTTGGCCAGCCCACCCCGGCTGGGCTCTTCCACGTGAAACGTTCTGGTGAGCAGGTTGTAGAAGGAGCCGTAGCACACTGCCACCACGGTGCAGGTCAGGCAGATGACGTTGTAGGGCATGCTGAAGTCTGGCGTCGGCAAGTTCACCAGAAGTGGCTCTGTGTACAGGCGCACAAAATAGCTGGAGCCATCAGAGGAAGGAAACCTGGAGAGCAGAAGCAGGAAAGGGAGTGTCAGCCCATGCAGGACCACTACTTTGTGCTCACCAGATGGGATGAGAGCGGCCAGCAGCCCGCAGGCACTGGTACAGCCCCACTCCACAGTGCAGGAACACTCACAGCGAGGTGAAGAGAGGGCTCTCCTCCACATCCACGTCCTTCATAGCAATGATGCTGGGCACCAAGGCACTGAGCACAGATGAACTAAAGAGACAAAGGACATGCTAGGGTCAGTCTTGCCAGCAAAGCGACAGCAGGAGTCTCTCCCATCCCCAGAGACCTGGGCAGCAAGTCCTACACAAGGCTCAGAAGGGGACAAGGAGCTGAGGTATGTCATTACCTGACATAGAAGCCATGATTGGGGTCAGGCGTGTACTCCGTCCACTTCAGTAAGGCCCTCTCAAACTGGATTGTAATCTTGGTGACAGAATTGGCTGGCAGCTGGATCAGCATTTCCAAGAGGTGAGGCCGTCTCCGGTCCTGGGCTGGCTGGTAGTGGATATAACCTAAATCCAAAGACACATGTCAGTGGCACCCGGGGGACCTTGTCCTATCCCACATTGCCTGGACACCTCCCACGGGGTGGGTGCTCCTGCTTCCACTGTCCTGGGAGGTTTTCTGGGCAAGTGAAGATGCACAAGTAGCAAAAATCATGTGTTAAAGCTAAATCTGGCTGGCCTTTAGAGCTGATGACCCGTGAAACTCAGGTGTTCATAAGGAAAGGTACAAATGCAAAATAAGACCCAGTCATCAGTTTTAAATCGAGCCTCCTTTACTACAAGAATCAATTCACTTTGGTTTAGGCCCTTGTTGGATTATGAAATGCTGTCCATGTGCCTCTTACAAAACAGGCTTAATAAAATCTCATCTGCTGTGAGTGCTGAACTGAAGGCTAGGAAAACATCCTAAGATGTCCAGTTTCCCAGTGATCACTGCGGCCCAAGGGAGGGACTAAACCATCTTTGGAATGAGCCACTTGTGCCAAGGGAATCGGATGGCATGTGCTCCCCGGAGGGTTTACTTACTTGGCTTGTTTTCCTTCCCCTTCGTGATGATAGTCAGAGTGTGCACATAGAGTCGCAGATACCACGGCACGGTCTCCAGCAGGATCACGGGGAAGGCCCGGTACGGGTGAGTGTTGTAGATGAGCGTGCTGATCTCTCCGGTCTGCAGCCCGTATCCACTCACGTAGCGCTGAGCGTGGAGTACGGGTGTGGGCAGCTCTGCTGCAAAAGAGAAAAGGACGCAGGAATGGGGGGCCATGCCAGGTGATTTTTAGGCCTGGAGCCCTGGCCAGCAGTGCAGGTGAAGTTCTGGTCACTCACAGCTGTCTTGGGGCCGCTTCCACTTCAGCTGCACGTTGAGGCTGCGAGATGTATTGAAGAGTGAGGGGCTCAGCAGGTCATAGACGGCATAGGTTCTCCTGTCTCCCTGGACAACAGCTTCATGTACGGATGCTGGAGGCGGGGTCACTTCCACTAACTCCTTTTCCTGAGAAAGCAAATAGACCGTGAAAGGAAAAGTGCCCCTTGAAGTAATTGGCAGCACTGGGCAAAGCTCCTCCAGCTGGCCCTGAACTTTCCCACCCAACAGCCAGCTCAGGGCTCTTATTAACACCACCACGCTCATCCCCTCAGCCCTGCTCAGAGGAAGGAAACCACCTCTCCTAATTAGCCCCAGAGGGCTCCTGGGGGTTCCTGGCCATGCAGGGGATGGAGGCAAGGATGTTTCGGAGCCACAGAAAGTGGCTGAACTGAGGAAGCAGAGGGTGTTCTCTGGTCCATGAGCATTACCTTGTTCTGAGGGGAGATGTCGACGTAGACTTTGCTCTGCGATGCCAGAGGACATGCATCAGTAAGTGTGCGAGAGAACATCTTAAAGAGGGACCAGTCTGCAGGAAGCAAAGTCAGTGGCAGGTAGAGCGAAGTGCTGCAGGCTGAGGGCACTTGACAACCACAGCGCACGGCTGCCAAGCCTACCTTTCTTTCCTTGGCCGCTGGAAAAGGTGTCAAAGACCACAGTGAGGGTCTGCCTGAGCTCCCATGACACAGCCAGGCAGGAGGCATCCTGGACAAGAGAGAGACAGATGGCTCTGATCACCCCTTCTGGAGGGGCAGGACACCAGGAGGGAGCTGCAACTCCACCAGGACTGCAAGAATACCATTGGGATGCAGGTGAGACCAGAGAAGCAGGACAACAGCTGTGTTAGACACAGTGAACCCACCGCAGGGTTGCTGGGCAAACTGGTGTGTCACCTTGCAGTATCACAAGAAGGCTTCTGATTTTTCTCTTGGGGGTGTTAAAGGAGGGAACCCTGAGCCTCACGCTTACCCTGCAGATGGGGCGGATGTGCACTGCCTGCGAGTGGTAGCTGCTGTGGAACAAGCGCTCGGCCTTCAGCAGCACAGCAAGCCCAGCCTGCAGGGAGAAACGGAGAAACTCAGACCCAGGTCTGCTCTTTACTCCCACTAAGAGGAAGCCTCTGCTGAGACTTCTCAGTGCACGCTCCTGGATTGCTGTTGGAAACCCAGCTCCATAAGGAGCAGCCCAACGGGGCAGCAGGACTTGCTGTTACCTTTGAGCCACATGGGAGCAGCTTCTTCCAAGGCGTGAGGTTCTCCGTGCAGACGACCTCCCTGGGCAGGACGGCATATCGCAGGAGATGGTGATCTGTCCCTGGGCAGAGCAGAAGCAGACCTGTTCCATCTCCCAGTGTACAACACAGCCCACCACCCTCTCAATATGCCTGAAATGCCATAAGCTTAATCAGGAATAGATCCCACTCTGTTCAGAGTGATTTGGAAAGAACAGGTAAGGGTATCTCCTAGCACATTATTTTCCTGAGCGCTTTAAATCCTCCAGTCCTCACTAGCTGTTTTGCAGAATGCTTTTCAGAGAGACAGATGAGGGCCTGGGAGCATCTGCCACATACTGCTTGTGGGTTTCCTCTGTTCAAACTCAAGCCTCATTCGCAGGGGGAGGAACTGCCTCCAAGAGGAGGTGAACAGGCCCTGTGGTACGCACCCAGCCCCAGAGTCCTTGCAGGACCTGCCCTTGGAGTCCTCGTAGTGTCATGGGGCAGAAGTAAAGCTAGAGACAAGAGTGAGAGGGCAGAGCTAGGCGGTCAAGCGCAGGCTGGGCTCACCGTTCACTAAGCCCAGGGGTTTGAAGGATGCCGTCGGAGTGACTGTGTTGGTTGAGTCAATGAAGTTCAGAGAAGCACAGAATATTCCTGAGAGGATGTTACTTAGCTCTTTCCAGGCTTTGTCAACACTGTGCAAGAACAGATATCGGAGATTATTCAGCAGCTCGAATCCTTGGAACAACAAGCATTAAGTCAGTAACATTCAGTAAATATACTGGGGTGACCACGCTGGCTTTCAGAAGCTGCAAGGAGCATGCAGGCAGAGGCCGCTGGTCACGCAGTCTCCAGCTCTCTTGGTATTTCATTCTAATGCGTGAGATCTGGGGGACATTCACCGCAGGGGCAGCCCCTGAGCTTTACACAGCCAGGGACCTGGTGATGGCTGCGAGGAGAGGGGCTGGGGGAGCAGGGAGCATGTGGGACGTGATGTGCGGTGTATGGGGAAGGGGCTGTGAGACCTAAAGCAAGACCTTGGTGCAGCTGTGAAGGCTAACCAGACCAGCAGACACGGCATGGGCCACTTGTAGGGAGGAGAAAGCTCTGCATGTCCACGCAGAGCTGCTGCTGCCCAACCGGGGGCTGTGTGGAGACGGTGACAGGTACTGGACAGGAGTCAAAGGAAGTGAGTCACGGATGAGGTCAAGATGTAACCCTGCTGTATTAGTGCAGCGAGGGGCTGAGGTACCTACTCGGTGACGGTGGGCTGGAACCAGACCCACAGCTCAGCGCCAGCGGGT